TTGGATGTGGTGTATATAACACTGGCAGTTATATACACCACATCCAGCATCAAATGGCAGTGACATTTATATTTCAGTGCTGATGATATTTGTTTGTTTTATGCCTGTGGTAATTATGAGTGAATGGTGAGTGAAAATCATCATTGTGTATCAAACAGTGTCACCTTGAGGAAAAAAGATGTATTGCACAAATTGAGTCATCAGATATGTAAATATAGTTGGTGTATGAAAAAATACTTACACATTTACATAACTCAGGTCTCTAGCGATCCTATACACTTTTTACAAAAAAAATATTAGAAAACAGGAATTCTTTTATATTTTAAAGTGTTTTTCTTGTCATATTGTTTATAATGAATAGATTGAGGAATACTGAGTGGCTGAGATATACTGGCTGAGATGTCTAACTTTAAATAATGAAGGAGAGAGAGGGTAGAGAATGATGTCCCGGGTCGCTAAAGACCAGAGGTATGCATTTAAGGGTTAAAAACTTCAGGTATGCCTGTTGACCCTTTTGAGTTTAAAGGGGTCATATGATGCGATTTCAAGTTTTCCTTTCTCTTTGGAGTGTTACAAGCTGATTGTGAATAGATAAGATCCCTGAAGTTGCAAAGACTAAAGTCTTAAAACCAAAGAGATATTCTTTATCAAAGTTAAGACTCTGCCACGCCCCCCTAAAACGGCTCGTTGTCAGCTGTCTTAACCGTGGCTTGTGTACTGCAAACACATACCAGCTTCATCACTGTGTCTGTCACGCTGGGGACTCTGTTCCCCTTTCGGGCTCTGTCTTTACATTTATTTTGAAAGATGAAGCTCACGATTATGGTAAGGGGCGTTATATTTCCGATGAGTGCTTGCAGTGTTCGGCCAATCACAATGCACTGGGTCAGCTGGCCAATCAGAGCAGACGGCGCTTGTCGGAAGGAGGGGCTTTGTAGAAAACGAAGCGTTTGAGAGAGGCGGGGCATAGAGGACCTACAATAATGTACAGTATTTGAAAAATAATGTGTTTTTTGAACATTAAAGCATGTCAACATAATCTGTTACACCAAATACACAAAATAATGATCTTTAAAAAAGCATCATATGACCCCTTTAACACCGCTGGTTCAGGGTTTAATTTATTTTGTGACTTTTGTTTTTAATATTGCTTACCGAATACGTGTTTTTGTTTCTTAGTGCTCAAGCATCTTGTCCCATTCATAAAATCAGAAAATACATAGTGTACGAAAATTACATTATGGAGTAATTTTCAGGTAAAAGTTTCAGGTGCGCCCAGTTTGTTTTTCACTTCAGGTTTGTCTTAAGATAATTGTTTCATTCCCTACTTGTCTATATCAGAGTAACGAAGTGGAAGGAAGCTACCATATGGAAAATGAAAGATTACAGAGGAGCCTTGCCCTGTTGGAAGCTCGTGGTGTTACCCTTGAGTGTATTGTAACTGAATAACTCCTCCAAGAACGTAATATCAACCAGTTCTATGATGTGTGGAGCATCGAAATGGTTTTATTCCTTATAAACCATACAAATTCAATAACATAGTTTTTATAAGTAGGTATAATATGAAATTTAAGAAATTGTGACAGTTTCTATGTACACCTGGCCAGCCATAACACGAATATTTAGTACTGGCAAACTCTGAACATCACTGTATTTACTCTGTGGTAAAATGCTGGTCTATATTTTCATTTACAGGGATTGCGAGGCAACTTGGAAACATTTACAAGTTGAAAGACTGTGAAAAATTGCGGAAATGGCTGAGAAGCATTAAAAACCACATTTACTGGACTGCAGCATCTTCAACCACTGGACCAGAAAGAGTGGCTAAATGGAGCTCGATTCTGAACCATGTCAGAGACATACACACACATGAGGATCCAAAGTGACTTGTTGCCGGTATGATACTGTGAAAAAGAATACTTTATTGCAACACTCCATTTACAAAAATAAGGGACTGTCAGTAGAAGTATAAATAACCTAGAATTAAAATTATTATTTGTAAGTAATCCAGTTTTTTAAAAATCTTTTTTCATAGGAACTCTGGCATTCTACAAGCTGGAGAAAGTCGTGACAAACAAGCGGATTTTGAAGGACGTCACCAAACTGAGTCCACATCACCAGACTTCATCTTTGGAGTCGTTTCATTGCGTCATTCTACGTTTTGCCCCCCAAAAAAGTGGTGTTCCCATTTCTTGGAATGTTGTGCAAGGTGAAGTAATTGCTGTTAAAATAACTTTACATCAATATAGGCTGTTTTCCTGAATTGTGTCGGTGCACTTGCAGACTATACCTGGCTGCATATCATTACAGTGAAAATGCTGGCTGTGCACAAGCAACATAATCAACAGGACATCCGCTATTCAGAGTGAACTTTCCAAAGGCCAGTAAAGGACAATGCACGGTCAAACAAGTGAAGACACCACCAACATTCAGTAAGTAACTTTTTTATTAGGTCTCACTTTTCATAGTGAGACCTAATATTTGAGCATGTTTTTGTGGACCCTGCTCCATACATGGATGAGGTACTGAAGATACCCATACCACCAGACCTGTGTGCGAAGTATGAGCGGCCAGACAAGGAGGAGGTCATCTCCACCATGATGTCTAGATTTAATCAACAGCTGGTCTGAAACTACACAGGCTGGAATCACGACACGTACCTGACGGCCAAGGAAACCCCAGCACCAGCTCACAAAGGAGCGATATGCCAGAAACCTGTAACGACTAAAACACAGGCACATGGTCAATAAACACATAAGCATTTATTTTTCATCAGTGTCTTTGTTTTGCATACGAGCACAGTCTATGATTCATCTTGTACTTTCTTATATTTCTATACAGACTGTTAAATATTCAGTTGTTCACAAGCACAATCTAAGGGTGCTTTCACACTTGGTTCGATTGCTTGGTCCGAACCCGAGTTCGATTGCTCCCCCCTCCCCCTGCCCCCTCTGGACTGTGTTCGCATTATATTATTTGGGTCCGAATTGCGGTTTGTTTGCGTCATCAAGCCAGCAGCTGTTTACCCCATTGCTTAGTAACGATGGCGCAGGAGAAGATGGCAAAATGCGTAGCAAGGCTCTCTTCAATTTTATGTTTTTGAACCGTTGGTTTTGTTTCCAAAGCTTCGGTACATAACGGCACTTGCCTCTGCCTTACCAATGGACTGCAAATGCTCTAAAGTACTCTGAAGGTGAACAGAAATGAGATATACAGCTCTCTGCTTGCAGCACATCAGTCACGCTTGTCAAGAAAATGAGTGAAACACATTTTTATCAAATAATACATCATTAGTAGCGGTTCACTTCCGTGATTTGGTACGATAGCGTTCACATCAGCAGCGAACCGGAGTTCACATGAACCGTACCCCAGACCACCCTTTTAAGCGGACTCGGGTACGGTTCGCAGGTGCGCACCCGAGTTCGGAAGCCCGCGTTCACATCATCCAAACATACCGAACTCTGACGTCAATCGAACCCGGGTGCGCACCAAAAGTGCTAGTGTTGAAAGCACCCTAAGACTCCTGAAGTTCTTTCTTTCTTTTGTATACAAAACGTCAAATATTCACTAGTTTGTTTACAGTTTATTTATTTTTGCAGAAGCTGCAATGTTCATTTGATTACAAGCACAAAGTAAGATTCCTCCACTAATATTTTATACAAATTGTGAAAATAATCACTTTTGTATTTGCAGAGTATATTGTTATGACATTAATAAATATAAAGTTTGTTCTGCCATATAAGTTGTCAATTTCATGGTTGCAATTACGAATATAGTTATGTTTTTACTTTTGTTCAGTCAGTATGTGGAGGGTGATTGTAAATGTAAATATAGTATTATTGGCCTTGCATTACAATTTTCAAAGTTGAATAAAAAAAATAAAAAACATAACATAAAATTTTGTTATGTCGGCTCGATAAATGTTGTATGCGTTCTGAAGAGAATACACTTTAAACAAACAGGCTCCAGTCCAGGATGCTCAGTCATACATCTGGGAGTCTGTTCAAGCTGTCGCATCCGTCTTTTCACCTTTATTGCAATAAAATTCGTAACAGCAAGATGACCGCGGGATCAATTATAACCATAAGTTAACTAAGCTATACCTGTTCTACTTCCATGCAGCATATGTTCTCTGGCATCTTACAACAGTTCTCACACGAACACCTACAGCGAGTTATTGATTATCATGACGGAACATGTCATCTCCATATGAACTACATAAAAACGTCAACTAACCATTCAGAAACTTCCTTTTGCATTCTATGTGTTGTCACTTCTTCTACAGTCTCTCTTTCACTATCCGATTCCGGTTCATACATATATGGCTGAACACCACTACTTGCAGTTTCCGACATTTTCATAGCGTGAGAGTGTCCTGTTTTGTTATTGCTGTCATGCAGGAGCACAAGCTCTAGAAGCTCCGCCCTCATCTGAAAAGGGGGAGCGGGAGCACCAGCTCATTTGCATTTAAAAGGACAAACACAAAAACAGCATGTTCTGGCTCGTACCCTAAACGTGGCAATTTCAACAAGCTATAAAAAAATTATCTGTATGGTATTTTGAGCTAAAACTTCACATACACACTCTGGGCACATCAGAGACTTATTTTACATCTTGTAAAAGGGGGCATAATAGGTCCCCTTTATAGTGTAATCTAATAAATGTAATGTACAGGTCATTCAGTAAATAAACAAATGCATATGAAGTGTCTGTATGTTTAGTGTTCTTTTATTAATTTGTAGTGCTATTATTATTATTTTTATTATTATTTAGGGATAATCAGGCCATTCAGGGCCATTAACTCTGACTCTGACTGACTCCCTTCCAAGTGCACTGACTACTGAACTAGGGAGGTGACTGAGATGCACCCAGAGATTTAATTTGGATATATTTTTCTTTCTGCTAATTTTTTTCTAATTTTAATCATGACAGATTGTCCAAACACAGAAAAACTCCTGGTGGAGCAACTGAGATCCGTGTGACACACGATTATAATGATGGCGTTTATTAAAGAGGAGAGTGAAGACTTCAGGATTGAAGAAGTTTTCAGTCTGAAACCAGAAGATACGGAGGAACAAACAGGTTGGTTTTCAATCTCAAAGCTGAACTCACTCATTTGATATTTATTAAAATGCCAACCTCTAAAGATATGAATGATATTTTTTAAAGAATGTATTATGAGTGTTATAATTTAAGTGGTTTTATTTGACATCGAGATTGGTTGAGGTCACATGACCAGAAAAATACTAATGCTACCTTCAAGTGCAGCTGAGATGTTACTTCCATTCATGTCATGCATTACAGTGTTTCCCACAGACTTGCACTCTATTTGTGGTGGCATATATATGCAAATGAATTCTCTGCCAGCAGGAGGCGCTTGTAGAGCGGGAGAGATCGAGGTTTCCCCGGTAATGGCTGTAATCAAATAAGTGCTGCGCTCACAAACGTTGCTTTATCAGACATTACATACAAGATTAAATGAAAATGACATCCAAAATATATATAAACACCCGCACCGGGTTTTGATTTTGAAATGTGCAGTGCTAATTTTTATTTAACGAAGTCAAAACCTTTTGGAAAATCTATTTGTGGCGGTCAGTTTTGATATTGTGGCGGGACGCCACAAATAAATCAATGTATGGGATTAAATAAAATAAAATTAAATTAAAAAAATAAAAAATTTATACCGTATTGACCCGAATATAAGACGATGTTTTTTTCTTGGAAATACATCTGAAAAAACGCGGTTGTCTTATATTCAGGGTCTAGACTTTGAAGGGTCAATAATACACCCACAACAATAGGTGGCGCCAAATACACATAAAACCAGTGTGCCGTGAAATACGTAATGTAATGCGTGTTGTAAAGATCGCGAGTAAAAACAAAAGAGAAAGAAAAGCTTACAGCTGCATGAGTCGTGACTGTCACGTTAGCCTGATGGGACCAAACTCTCTTTGTGATTTTAAAACGTAAGACAGTACCCAGATTTGAAGACTACAGTAAGATTTAACTTCTACTGTTAATAAGATTTTGGTAGGCTACTATTAGATGGATAGCCTAAATGTCCTAATTCAGATGGGCTACCTGTTTTTTTAAATTATTATTATTGTATGTCAAAAAGTGTATATTTTTTTTAAATGTGATTGTTGGTACATTTTACCAGTTTTTACCATACTTTCAAAACAAAAATTATAATAGGAAAAATATGCAATATGAAAATAATTGAAGACAAAATGTGTTTTACTGAGAAAAAACAAGATTTGGTTTTTAAAAAGCCTTTTTCCAAAAGGTACATCTGGAAAAGGGGGGGGTCGTCTTATAATCAGGGTCGTCTTATATTCGGGCCAATACGGTAATTTAAATAATGCATATGGGTAGTTGACAAATTGCAGTAAAAAATGCTTTTTTTTTTTGGTAAAAAAATTTTTTTGAAAAAGAAATTCATATGTTTATGTAGTTTGAAGTCTGATCTTTGAGAAAATGTAAAGGGTCATTAAACTTCTTCAATTCTTTCACTGCTTTTTTAAACATTTTTACTGAACTGTACCATAAATTTGTCCTATGGTGTGACATAGCAAAACTTCAACCTCATAATAATCATAGACTGTAAAAAACATGGACATGGTGTCCTTGATGTCACTCGTAGGTTTCTGAAGAGCATTTTTGAAGCCTAAAGTGGGCGAAACTGACCGCCGCCATCTTGGCAGCACGTCACCGCGCGTCACTCCTGGATAATCGAAAATGGGCAAAAAGGTGGGATGTGGGTGAAGCTGAGGTGCTAAAACCATGCCCAACTCACTCGACAGCAGTGCTGCTGTGCAAAGACAAAAAAAAAACATAACTTTGTTTTTGGGCGAAATTTAGTTAATGATAATTTTGGGACAATCATGACCTCCTTTATCATGTGTATAATGGTGCTTTTCCACTGCATGGTACGGCACGGTACGGTTCACTTTTGGGGGGTTTTCCACTGGGTACAGTACCTGGTACCTGGTACTTTTTTTAGTACCACATCGGTTGGGGTTCCAAGTGAACCATACCGTTACCAAAACGTGATGTGTAAACTCTGCTGATCACGGATTGGCCGGAGAGAATCGTCTCTACCTGCGTCACTGAACTTGCGACACAAACACAAAAGAACCGCTAGATTTAAATCAGCACAGCCAGCGAAGGATCGAATGCAACTGTTTTGAACGAGTGCACCTTTTTTAACAACCAAAAGGTTTTGTTGTCTGTTGCGGAAGAACAGACGTTCCTCTCGTTGATAGCAGAGGAGCGGATCCAGCGAGAGCTTGATGGGGTGATGCAGAATGAAAAAGTTTTTTTTAGGAGTCGTGGCAGTATAGGCGGGGCAACTATAACGACATGTGAATAATCCTGCCCACTCTAAAGCGGTACTGAACTGCAGTGGAAAGGCAAACCGTGCCGTGCCGTGTCGTACTGAGCCGTGCCGAGACGAGTCGTACCACGCAGTGGAAAAGCGCCATAAGTGTCTTGGCGAAAAAGCCCAGGAGAAACCAAGGCAGAACACAGTATAACATCAGTTACCGCTCTTTGACTTAGTTTGGAACGCTCAAATTAAATTACGGTGCTCTGCATTTGTTTAGCCGCTCGTCAATATTACTGTGTCAGCCTGGAGTTATACCGTATTCTGCCTTTGTTTTACTGTCCATTAAAATTTGCCGTGTTTAAATTACAGTGTGACTTGTGTATACCCTACACTAGCGCGTTACGGTCTTTTGCCTTTGTAGGGCAGTGTGGGCTGATAATAAGCCAACTGGCGCTTGTGTTTGATGAAACGCCTCTTTATTTACAAGTGGTAGTTGGATATATAAGACCTAAACCATGCTAATGCTAGTTCACAAATGGCAATGCAATTCTTATGCTGTCCAAGGGATTGTTGTAGTTTAAACCGATGCTGGAAAAAACTGCTAAAAAATCCTGGAAAGAGCTGTTTGAAAGTGTCTTGATGCAAACATGGCTTGATCGGAGGAGAGCTGGTTTATCAAGGCATTTGATAACTGCCAGGTTGAACATTTGAAAGTAAAGAGATTCTGAGGAAACGGGAAACATCTCTCTCAGTAGCCTTTTTTTTCTCACCGTACAGCACCGTACGTGGATGTTGTTTACGCTTTGCACCTTGCTGTCTATGGGAGGGTCAGAGAGCTCTCGGATTGCATCAAAAATTTGTGTTCCGAAGTAAACTATTAATCACGTGGTTGGGACGGGACAGGAAAAAATGTCAGCGGGAGTGGGCAGGCCCGGGAATCGTAATAACACGATGATACCCAACTTTATACACAAATATACTTTTTATATAAATAAACTATAAATTGTATATTTTATTTTTGAACTCTATTCTAGTTGCCCTGTCTCTTTATACTCTCCTCCTGTTTGCTTTGGTGTGGCTGGTTAAGTGAATAGCGTACGCAGTCCGTGATGGACAGATTGTTAACAGCTGGTTAATGTGGTAATACAGTACATCGGGCAGGACATCCAAACGCCCACCTATCATTCATCGACCTCAAATATGGCTTTTTCAAAAAAAGATGTAATGTTATGTAGAAACAACTTTACATGGCCGCTCAATCTAATGTTAACCTACAGAAATGTGCACTATTTTGGTCATACAGATAAATGTAATACATCTTTTGAATCTGTAAAGACTCTACGTTTATTTGTGTGCACTCAGAATAACAACGAAACGTAGCGCTTCTGTAAAATAATTAAAGCAAACAGCATGCGCTTTCTGTCGTCTCGGTCATGTGAACTTGAACGAGAAACTTTGAAACTCTGCGTATGAAAAATAAATTTATAGAGAGTGAAATGTATACTTTCAAATGAAAAAAAATCAAATAGAAAACGTGTGTTAGCATGGATGATTTACATGAAGTTTAGAAGTTTAATGTGTGTGCAATGCACACTGTTCATTGTTTAAGTTGGCTTTCAGTTCAATAAAATAACAAAAAAACTACATTTTGGTTTTTTATTCAAGGAAAGTGGGCATGCTGTGATCTGTACTGTATTTGTTTTTTACTGTAACTGACAGATTCCGGCCAAAAAAACACAACACGGGAGTGGGAGGGAATGGGAGTCATTCTTCTGGGATCGGGACGGGATTTTCCCCCAGTTTTTCTGTGGGATTGGGACAGGACGGGATTTTTTTTGTGGGAGTGGGACGGGAGAGGTTTGAAAATCCACTCCCGTGTCACCCTCTAGTTTGGAACGACATGAGGGTGAGTAATTAATGACAGAATTTAAATTTTTGTGTGATTACTGTTTTTAAAAAAAAACAACAGACAGGAAAAACTAATAAAAACATTAAAACAACTGGAGAGCTCCACACCTAGGCAGCCATCCGCAGTGCCATCTTAAATCAAGATTTTCATACAAAATCAGTAATCAAAAACTGATACTGATACTAGTGTTGGAATTGGCATCGATATCAGTTGGCATCACGTTCTTCTGGGTTTGAGGAGTGATGAACTGATATCAGTATCAATGATACCAAGACTTTCATCCGTGACTGCATCCAGACACTTGGTCAACGACCAAAATCAAAAACGTCACCAGGCCACCCCTGCTCTATACAATTTTATAAGTATAATAATATTATAATGCTTAAAATACTCAATGTTCTGTATAGAAGGATTCAGCTAGATATTATATTATTATTATTATAAGTACTCAGTATCATTCCAACAGCTACACCATATAAGCAGACACAAAGCCTATTATAAGCAGTTTCTTCTATTAAGCCTGTCTGTTGATAACGAGTCTGCCCTCCAGGGTGTTTATCACTCAAAGACGCCTTAAAATTAGCACAAGAACCCAGGGAATGATTTTCATGACATCTCCAACACAGCAAACTTGGGTTTCTTTGCTCCGAAGGTATAAGAGCTTTTCTATCTACTTTTTACTTTTCTGACCTGCAAACTCTGGTCAAATGCAGTGCTTTTGGTCAACAGCAGGTGACAGCTCTCTCAGGAGGAATCTGCACGCATCTTGCAACTCAACATTCGCGTTCACTTCCTGATGAGCATGTTCATCATGCACTGTCAACTTTGGAAAAACGACTGCATGATAAGGCACCAACTTTCCATAGTCAGCCCTGTGAGGATCACTGACTGGAACCTCTAACTGAAACCCCTGCCCCCAGCACCTTAGGGTCCAGCAAAACGGGGAGTCTTTGTGCTATGGAAGGACGGGGATCGCATTCCAATGAAGCCATGAGAGAAGGCAATGCAACCTGAGAAGGTTCAGCACATGAAGTCGAAGCCGTTTTGAGCATTTTGACCGCCGTGGAAAACTCAAGTCGCTGTTCACAATGGCCTGGGGTGTCCGCATCGAATGGCACAGCACCGCTCACAGCGGGAGGATGGGCAATATGTTGTTTATATATTAAATATATTTATATAAGAATATGAATATATAAGTGTATAATATTTTCAAAACATATTCTGTATGTGAGTGTATTTCTATATACATAATAAATATACACAGTAAGTATACATATATAATGTAAACAAAAACTTTTATTTTGGATGTGATTAATCGTTTGACAGCACAAATTTTCATTATATATTACTATTTTTCTTGTCTATTTTATGGATTAGTTGATGCAGCCCTAACATCAATAATACACTCCCCGATATGTATCATCACAATAAAAGTGAAATCTAATGAAAATGTCCCTCATCAAAAACATACAAGGAGAAAAGCAGAGGACCTAATACAGAGCCCTGTGGCACTCCATACTTTGTGAAAATAAAGAGATGTCTCATCAAACACAAGTGGAAGCAGTCAGATAGATAGGACATAAACCATGGTAATGCTTGTGTACAAATGCAAGCATACTCCTCAAGCTATACAAGACAATGTTGTGGTCTATGTTGTCGAAAGCCAAATGCAGGTAATTGTTAACTTTTATAAGCATGGTAAATGTGCTGTGATGGGGCTTAAAAACTCTGCAAAACTGAACACAACTGAGGGCAGGTTGTTTTTGTAATATTTTATAGTACCATTCACAACTTCTGACAGTGGAAACGGAAATAATTGCGTACCGTACTGTATTGTACTGTACCAAACCGTACCGCTCAGTGGAAACGAGTTATTAGATGTACATGAATCACAGATTTGGGATCGTCTATTTTAAACCTGGGACCTTATTTGTAAAATGCATGCATGATCAGATTTGACTCCAATTCCATAGATTTTGTCTTATATCAAAATGTGAAACATATTGGGATTTATAAAGGCAATTGCCTAACTGACAAGAATGGGCCCTGATGATGACTGCCTCACTTATTTTCTTTACCCACAGGGCCCAGATCTCTATTGTTCTACTAAGGATTATCATTGTTTTTGGAAGCTGTCAGGGCCCTTAACATACTTAAAAACCCATTAAAGTTTGCACACTTCAGAGTCATTAGCACTTGCGGAATCTATCGTGCATAGTTTTGTATAAAACTTTGTACATGTATTGTTCTTATTGACCCGTAGAACTTGACAATGATTAGCTTCACACTAATAATTATTAGCTCTGTCCTACAGTAAGTTTTACAGGCTTTGTATATTTGGGTGCTTTGATGCTCTTAATGTTTAAAATTTCATGAAATTCTGCACACATATCAGATTGATCAGCCATTAGGTGTAGGAAAATGTTAAGCATTGAGCGGGGGGCTCTGTAGCACACCCCCTTTTGACTAAAGTAACGAGGTAAGTATTACCTATAAAAGTACGACAATTATTTTATCATGCATTAACGCAGTTTTGTATTATTATGAAAGTCCATTGCTCACTGGCTCTGAATACACATACAGACAAACCATGGTTCACAGGAGAGGTGGGATGTTGATCAGTACTGGCTTGGGATGGGCATCATCACGCGTCTCAACCAATGAGAGCATTTGGGGTGGGCCTAAGACTGCAGTAGCTCTCGCATGGATGCTCCCGATCAAATTATTTAGGCTAAGCATCAACATTCACAAACCACTGTTCACTGTTATTTTTAACAGAAAAGAATACAATGAGCTCGTAATCATGACTTCACAAGTGGGAAATAAGAAGTTACCGATAGCACGTGAAGACAGCAGAGAAGCAATCTCGCTCAGCACAGTGGAGTGCATCATTTTGTTAACTTTGTGGTTTATTGTTTTGAGTAATTTGGGACGCAGAAACACACGGCCCTCTCACAATATATTGCTTTACAGATCTATCGCTTTTGCCACTCAGAAATGTTCACGCAATTATTCAGCACGTATCATAAGTTCTGCGCTCCGGCACGGTTAGCGCTCACACTCACTGATCTCTATATACAGTATAACTGAACTGCGCTCTAGCCCACCTCTTCCAACCGAGCCAGGGACAGCTAAAAGAACGGAGCGATCACACTAGTCAAACGAACCTGGCTTTGGGGGTCAAATGCGCTCCGGCACGGTTAAGATCGCCTAGTATGAGTACACCCTAATTATTCTCCCGCATCCCGCACACACGAGTCTCTACTCGCCCATCAAGTGTTGTCCCGCGCCGCACTCTGTTGCGTTGTCCCGCGATAGTGCAGGTCTCTACTTGGAAGGTGCCTGTTGTAATCTTATGATCGAGGCTCTGGACTCTGAGAATAACTTGTTTTTCTATAACATTCTATAAATATTTCTATATAAACGTTAATGCCCTGGAAGTGGCAAATAGCTTTGGTTTTATATTAAATTTGATTACATTAATGTTATAAGTTGAGATTTACAAGAAATATTTTAACTGCTAAAAGGAATACTGCTGTAAAAAAGCGCCTTGTTTGTTTAAAGGGTTTGCAACCCAAATGTTATTGCACTTTTGTTCATATAGCAGTACCTTTAAATGAAAAAGTGCACAATACACAACTTTTGAATGCATTATTGAATTTTGTGCATAATGCCATTAATTGCAGCCAATCTTGTGATTAATCGCGATTAAAAAAATTAAAAAATGTAATCGTTGCCCAGCACTACTTAATACTCGAGTGTTGTTGAAGCTCTTAGCAGGCTTAACATTTCATGCAATTTGGCACATGCATCAGAGTTGTTGGTATAACTCTGACGTAGACATTGAGGATCCTAAATTGCAAACAGATAATAGAAATCTTGAATGGCTCATGGTTGAGGGATTAAATTAATGACATAGCAGATATGAGACCCTTCCTGTTTTCCTTTTAAGTGCATTGTTTGATTAAAGGGGTCATATGATGCTATTTTAAAGATCATTATTTTGTGTATTTGGTGTAACAGAATATGTTGGCATGCTTTAATGTTCAAAAAACACATTATTTTTCAAATACTGAACATTATTGTAGGTCCTCCTATGCCCCGCCTCTCTCAAACACGTCGTTTTCAACAAAGCCCCCTCCTTTGACAAGCGCAGTCTGCTCTGATTGGCCAGCTGCATTGTGATTGGCCGAACACCGCAAGCATGTGTCGGAAATGTAACACCCCTTACCATAATCGCGAGCTTCAGCTTTCAAAGTAAATATCAAGACAGTTAATAATGTCGTTAGTTTTACCATCAGTTCAAGCCCGAAAGGGCAACAGAGTCGCATGACAGACACAGTGACGTGCTATGATTTCTGACAGACAGTTCACTCTCCTGTGAGGTGACCCTGTTCCCCTCTCACACACACACACACACACACACACGCACACACACACGTCCCATTACTCTGGGCTGCGCAAAACTCCGCATTGCTGATTCGTAAGCGGCAGATTTTCATGGAAAAGTCTGAATTGACCCTTTTTTTTTTAAATAGCCTTTGTGCACAGCCAGCCTTGTACTCTTCTAGGTTCAAAAAACTGCCGTCCATAAAATGCGTTGCACAAATTCGAACATCTGGGTTGTGCTGTTCTGTTGTAAATAAATCTTAACCAATGATTCCTAATTAGATCTACTTCCGGAAAGCCAAATAAAGTGCTTTTGCTTTCGCACTGAAACACAGCGTCTCCCTGACATGGCTGCATCAACACTACTGCTGTTCCTGAAACCACGCCTTCTTTCTTTGTGTGCACATTTGGTCGGCATTATGCTAATATTTCCACATCGTGACATAAGGGTGTGTTAGAATGAGCCGTTTTAGGAGGGCGTGGTTGACTCTTAACTTTTTATTTGAGACTTTAGTCTTTGCAACTTTACAGATCTTCTTTATGCACCAAGAGCTTGTGACACTCCAAAGAGAAAGGAAAACTTGAAATCACATCATATGACCCCTTTAACATCAAATTCATATCACCACCAGCTGGCAGAAAGAAGTGCAACACATACAACAGACTGAAATAATCCTCCTTTATTTACCCACATAAATGTGATGATGGCATTGTAATGCTTGTTATCTCTGCTTACAGCAAAATTGATGGTTTTGATGCTTTAAATGTCTAAAACGTTTGTCTCTTTCTTTGTGAAATTAACCTGGCGTTAACGTAATTAATTGTCTTTTTTTTTCCCTTAGACTTGATGGCGCTGAAAGAGCAGAGTGAAGATCTGAATGAAAACGAAGAGAAAGATCTGATTGAGAAACATCATGATTTCATAACTGAAGGAAATTATTTTAGTTGTTCACACACCGGAAAGACTTCCTCGCAAAAAAGCGCTCAAAATGCTGATACAAAAACTCATTTCGTTTGCCAACAGTGTGGAAAGAGTTTCAATAAAAAAAGAAACCTTAAAGACCACATGAGAATTCACACCGGAGAGAGGCCTTTCACCTGCCAACAGTGTGGAAAGAGCTTTGCACGGAAAAGCAGTCTCAAGATTCACTTGAGAACTCACACTGGAGAGAGGCCATTTGCATGTAGTCAGTGTGGAAAGAGTTTCACACATAAAGAAACCTTTTATACTCACATGAGTCTTCACACTGGAGGAAGCCCTTACACCTGCAAACTCTGTGGAATAACCTTGAAACGAAAAGGAAATCTTAAGACTCACATGAGAATTCACACTGGAGAGAAGCCTTTCACATGTGATCAGTGTCAAAAATGTTTCACACGTAAAGGAAGCCTTAATAAGCACATGAGGATTCATTTCAGAGAGAGCTGTTTTATATGTCATCTGTGTAAAATGGGTTTCAAAGACATGAAACGCCTTAAAAGGCACATAATAACTCACATCGGACAGAAGCCTTTTTTGTGTCATCGGTGTGGAAAGACTTTCACACATGAAGGAAACCTCAAGAGTCACATGAGAATTCACACTGGAGAGAAGCCTTTCACCTGCCAACAGTGTGGAGTAAGCTTCACTGAAAAAAGAAGCCTTACCGACCACATGAGAGTTCACACCGGAGAGAAGCCTTTTACCTGCCAACAGTGTGGAAAAAGTTTCACTCGGAAAGGAAGCCTTAAAGTCCACATGAGAATTCACAACAGAGAGAAGCCTTTCTCCTGCCCTCTGTGTGAAAAGAGTTTCAGACATAAAAGAACCCTTAATATCCACACGAGAGTTCACACTAGAGAAAGGCCTTTCCCATGTCTTCAGTGTGAAAAGAGATGCACCAAAGAAATAGATCTGGAAAGACATACGCAGTCTCATTCTAGCAAGAAATTCCCAGAATGCTCCGAGTGTGGCAAGATGTTTTAAAAAAAGAAGCAAAAATCACGTCTGCCTTCACTCTGGAGAAATTAGGATACCCTTGGGTCCTTGAAAAGCATGTAAAAGCAATAAATTCAGTTTCAACAGCTGTAAGTCCGCAAAAAGTCTTAAATATCACAGTGGGGCAAAGAAGTTTTAAATGTTGGAGCATTTTGGAGCTGTTTTTAATTTCTGCTTTCAAATGTAATTTTTTTTTTTAATTCAAAAGTAAATACCATTTTGTGGCTCTTTAATGTTAATGTTTCGTGACAGATCACTGTATTGCCTCAGTTCAAGCGGCGCGTGAACCGATTGTCTTTTCACATTTACTTAAAGCACAAAAGAAACATGAATGAACATCAGAACGTATTTCATTTCAACCGTGGAAAGATGTCAATACGCAACATTTTTCAAGTTCAAGTCCATCAAAGTTAAGCTACTAGTGTTGGGTCGTTCTTGAACGATTCGTTCATTTTGAACGAATCTTTAATGTGACTTGGGAAGAACGAGTCGTCTCGGGGAGTGATTCGTTCAGTCGCGCATGCTCAACATTCTATAGGTTCTGTACTGGAATTAGTCATGTAGTTCACCTGTTTCGAGTCTTCGGGTTTTCCGAGTCATTCGTTCATCACGTGACAGCCCCATAAGCTTAACCAATGCAGTCTAAACCGGAAAGAGAATTTATAATAATAACCAACTATTTATTACCTTTGTTACAACATTCAGTGTTATGGAAAAGAACCATAATGACAGAAATTCACACATTTATAAACTGTAAGGTAAATGTCGGTAAAATGATCCGAACTTCCCATCACTATAAGCTACACCTGTCATATTTGTTTGTCAGGCAAGATGGCGAATTCAGCTTTATGATTGGTCCGATAGCCTGTCAATCAAGCTCTTTGCTCCATAGTAGGGAATCCCCAACACAAGAAACACAAGTAATATATCCATACTCTAACTGAACTGGTACATTAAATATAGTTTCATAGCCTGTGAGAGTGTGTTTGTGTTAGATTAGTTTACAGATTAGTTTTAGAATTGTTCAGTAAAGTTCTGTTGGTATTTAAAGGCGTGTCCTGTGTTTTGTGCTGACAAGTTAATGTCTTAAACTGCTGATATTGTTATTGTGCTAATAATATTTTCACTATACTTTGGATATTAATATCCATTTCAGAGTTGATGGTTGCGGCCTGTTCGATTGATTGCTGGACAATTCATTTGATCAGTCGTAAAACAGTGATCCTGTCAAAAATCTCTATAAATATAATTAATTCCCTTTAAGCTAAACACACCCCTCCTATTTTCTGATAAATAAGACAACAAAGATATGATGTCAATAGACCCAAAAATTTCTTTATTTGAGTAGATACCATTGCTTAAGCCTGTGTTGCTAATGAAGACCAACAAACTCTATTGTACAGCTCTCTAGGAGTGCTAAAATTACAATTGGTTATGAACCTAAGTGCACCATTTCTAAGATGGAAGAATGCTGTTTTTGTAACATGGGAAATATGATTTTCAAAAGACAAGTTGCTATCTAATATAACACCCAGATTTTTGACTGTAGAGGAAGTAACCGTACATCCGTCTAGTTGCAAATTGTAATCCACGAGATTCGGTGTACTGTTTTTTGGTCCAATAAGTAATATCTCTGTCTTATCCGAATTTAATAGGAGAAAATTATTGGTCATCCAATCTTTTACGTTTTTAACCCATTCTGTTAGCTTAGATAATTTAGAAGTTAAGATAAGAGTGTACGAGGAGTATAAATGTTTGATAGGTGCTGATTTATACAAATAATTAATATTGAAGAACTGGCAGAAATGTGGCAGAAAGTTACCATGAGCTGAAGAATGAATGCTGTATCAGATGCAGGTAATCAAGTCCATCTCTCTCTCATAATACTCTACGTAAGACAGTGAGCTTTTGATACAGTAATACAATAAGCTTTCAATGAAGCAATGCAATATTCCTTTGTTACTAGTTCTAAAATGACATTTTCTAATTAGTAACAGCCTTGGGCTGAGCCTTTTAAACTGTCAACTTAACATTTGAATCTGTGGTGGAAGGAATTAGTTCTACATAAAAAATTGGTAGAAATTGGTTGTTTCTTATTTAATAACACGCTTGTGTTGTCAAACTGTTGTATAAATGCCATATCACACTCGTACCCATGTGATATCGCTCTATATCAGCATGGCTGTGATTACCTAAAAATTACTGGAGCACTAACCCGCCACAGCAGACCCCATTTTTTGGGTCACTGTTTTTCACAGGTCCTCCTCCTTCCTGCACTTCACCAACAGTTCGAGAGCTAGTCACCATGATCCATTGCACAAAATAAGAAGCATATTTACTGGTGTTACCTCCTCCTTTCGTTGTGTTTTTGGGTCATTCCACGAAATCGGTGCCTTTAAAAAATAAAAAGTTTAATCAACATTTATTAAATTTCTATGAAATGAAGACACCTTAAAATTACAAGAAATTGTATTGTGCCATCTCAGGCTATGAAATTTATTATTTTATGACTATTTTTCTACCTCATGTTTTGGTATGATTGTCAACCCTGTTACCAACACAAGCGTTACTAGATTCTATAGTATAAGTCAGATAGAGATGAACAGAGCTCAAGACCTCAGAAGAAAAGCAAAATGAAAATCATTAAAGAAGTGCTCAAGTTCAAGGCCTTGAAATAAACCAAACTAACTGAACACATATGTCACTATTCTTCAAATGTTGGATCATGCCCACACGTTTCAAAATATTGCACCACTACAAGAAGACTGTATGCATGTTCCAAATGAGTAGAGCAGGGCAACAGCCGAGGCAGTCGCTGTTTCATTTGTGGAGAAGAGGGACATCAAGCTTTTAGATGCTGAAATAGGACTAAATGTAAAGGAATGACTTACCAAACTATCAAAAGCAGCCAACCTTGATGAAGCAAGGTCAGTGGATAGCGATGCCCAGGACGTGAGTGTGAATGGTGCAGCCTATCTTCACACACCTAGAGACGCAAATTCAGGACAAAACAAAGTGGCAGAATTAGTTGGAAGGAACTTGACATGGGTGCACAAGTCAGTATTCTCAACCTGAGTGAGTTAATTAGGAACCAAATCTCTGAATGTGCCGGCTATCAATGGGGAAACTCTGCCCTCTGATGGTTGGGTTAAAGCGACTGTGAACCTACCCGGCAACAGAAATCCTGACTTGGCGAGTTCCATTTTTGGTGGGTAGCATTGCCCTTGAACGACCTCTGCTTGGATTTAATGTGATTGAACAGCTGATTAAGGGACAGACAAACGGAAAAATAGTCCTGTCTACTATTATGATATTGCTTAGTGGGGCAATGGAAAGAGAAAATGCCAAGCAAGAGCAATTGTGAGTTTCATACAGACCCAAAAAGCCATCTAATCTACTGTACAAAACTGTCAGAGTAGGAATACAGGATATTCTCATTCTGGCAGGACAACTGGCACAAGTTAAATGTAAAGTACCAGAAGATTTTGACCTGTCAGACTAATTTCTTATGTTTGAATTCAATCAAGAGAACTCGAAGTTGGATCAGCTTGATTTGGGTGATGGCCTGTTGGAAGTCTGCAGGACAAAAAGGCCAATCATACAAGTTCCAGTAGGAAATTACACCAGATATGATATCACCTTGCCTCGACAAACAGCACTTGGAAGCATACAGCCAACTGTAAGAATTGTAGAGATGGACCAAATAGTTGAGCCAGCCAGTGTTGAAGTCAGTAGTGCTGATGTAGCCGAGCCCTATGCAGCAGAGTAAAACTATTCAAACACCAACGTGATTCTATTCCTAAATTACAATGATTCGTCAGTTACATTCCTCAACCTTTGACGTGTGCGATCAATGTTGTGATCACTTGGTTCGTCCGTGCAGTGTACGATCACATCAGTGTTATTTGAACATTTAAATTTGCGTTCGCGCTGCCATTGACCTAAAGAGAGCAGTTGTCATCTGTCATGAATGAAATAGCTTCACAGAAATAATGATACTGCGTGGCTGAAAAGACTAACAAAACATTCAGACAAACATTCAAATCACAGAAGTACTGGGATAAAAGTTTATAGTTCAGATATAAACTCTGATGTGTATGGTAAATGAGCTTTTGAAAGTAATTTGACACTTCAAATGAAGATTTATCGGTTACATTGTTACGCCAGTAGGTGGCAAAAAGGGGCTGTTAAAATCTATTTGTCTTTGAATCATACGAGAGATTCGTTCAAGAACGCGGATTCATCCAGTAATGAAACAAGGACATCTTGAGTGAGTCATTAAATCATTCATTCATAAATTACATGTGATTTTGTGTAGTTGTCTAATGTTTTTTCTTCAGAATCATGGGAGAACCCACAACTTCCATTGGGAAAAAAATGTTCATGGTATTCAGCTCCAATAAATGGTTTGCAAAAAAGAGACACAGAATAAATGTTTGATATCATTATTTAATCACATTGGAATCGAAACCGGGAATCGAAAAGAATCGGAAATCGATAAGCAGGATCGTAATCGGAATTGATCAAATTCAAACGATACCCAACCCTAGACATTGCAGATTATCAAACTGAAGGAATCTAATGCTGTACTTACTAGTGATACAAGAAAAGGAGCTAGAGGAGCTGTCAAAAAAAAGCTTATGCATGAATGGATAAAGCTGCACTTGGAAGGAGGACTTCTATTTCATAAAACCGAGCAAAGACGTCAATTCATTCTGCCTGATGAGTATGAGTATAAACAAATTGTTCTCAAGCAACTACATAACAACATGGGCCATGTTGGCATAGAAAGAGTTCTTAGCCTTGCCAGAGACAGGTTCTATTGGCCGTTCATGAAAAGAGACTTTGATACGTTACACGACAATGTCCATGTATAAAACAGAAAAGCCAGTTGTACACGCAAGAGCTCCAATGGGCAGCATAATGACCAGTTCACCCTTTGAGCTTGTAACTATTGATTACTTGCACCTGGAACGCAGCAGCGGAGGGTATGAGTACATTCTTGTAATCGTAGATCATTTTACAAGGTTTGCTCAAGCTTGTGCAACCAAAAATAAGTCAGAAAAGACAGCAGCTGATTTTTTTTTTTTAAATGACTTTATTAGATATGATGATTCCAACAGTGTGGATAGAGTGATGTTTAACCGCTGCGTAAGATCAGCA